ACTGGACCTTAACGTGGTGCGACGGTTTGCGTACCTCATTGACCCATTAAGCTATACTGGGTGATGCCTACGGGCATCTTGTGAGATACTCCTACCAGGTCGATCAGTGGTGAGAGGTCAGACAAACTCAGTCTCCTGGTCCTCCAGGTTGGGGGTTTGAAATGGGATGGCGTCCATTTCTTTAAAACTAAATCATTGCCACCTCCCCGCTGCCTTGCAGACAAGCTTTTAAGCCAAAGGCTTCGGATGTGGACCCTAATCGTCCTCCTGTCTAGATCTGGGCGCCCTGGCAGTATTCCAGGCCACATACAACCATGACTTTTCCTTCAAACATAAACCTCATCCTGCATCGGCCGTCGCACAGATTATCAAGGGTCGCCTTATCTGCTGCATACAGCAGGGCGGATAAGCGAAAACATGCTACTGCTGGCGCCTCTCTTCTTTCTTTTCCACCTGTTTCTCTTACTCCCATCCCGACCCCCATTATTAACCTTCCTTCTATAATTCCCAGCTTAATTGACAGCAACCGAAGTGCTACTGGAGTAGAACCATCCGCAGCCACCTCGCGATACGCACCGGACGCCTATCGACAACAGTTCCTTACAAGGCCACGCTGTCCTGTTTCCACGGCAATTTAGCTCACATCTGGTGGGAAAACCGCGTGAGCAACGAGCGTGTTCGACGCCCTTCTTCCGGCACAGGAAAAGGAAATGAACCTCTCAGTACCGTTATTTCACGCATCTGGCTCCGATGGCTCGGCCACGTGTTATGCATGCCAGCCAACCGACTCCCGCGACGTGCGTTGTTTGTGCACCGGGGGTGTGGATGGAAGAAAAGGAGAGGTGGCCAAGCGATGACTTGGTCGAGAGGAATGAAAGTCCTCACTTCGAAGCTGGCCTCAGTTGGAGCGTCTAGGCTCCCTGGTTGGGGTCGGAAAGACCATCAACACGTTTGGCTGGATACACTTGTTGATATGGCTAGAAGCTGACTTCAGGGACGTCCGTGTTGTGAGTTTCTTTGTCCCACCCACCCCTCCTAGCCTCCCTCTCCAACCACGATCTCATTATTTAGCATTTTATTATTTTGCGTAGTAAATTATTTTTTTCTGCTGCCTAGTAGCCGGAAGGTAGCTTATCGGAACGATGTCCATCCGTTGCTGGTAGCTCAGCTGGCATGCAACTGTTGTATTTATTTTCTTTTTTCTTTTAAGTATGGCGACACAGTAGCTGAGGTGTTTCCCACCTCTAGCTAACGTGTATAGTGTGTGTGTATGTATTCCATGGCGATGTTCAACGTTCGCCCTCTAAGACAAGTAGGTCAACAGACTGTACTCACACGCACCTTGGATACACTGGGTATTGGTGTGTGTTGTGTTTGTTCAATTTCGTTGTGGATTCTATCATGGAGTGTTCCCTTGCGGAATCTCATGATGTAGGCGTTGAAGTGCTGCCTGGTGAAAGGTTAGTTGATCTTGATTATGTGGACGATATCGTCTTGCTTTTTCATCATGTTGCGGCGGCACAATCAACCCTGAATAGCCTGTTTCGAGTGGTCCCATTATTTGGTATGCGCTTCGCACCTTCAAAGTGCAAAGTGTTGCTGCGGGACAACCAGCCACTTTATGACCCCTTGTCTTTTGCTAACCAGAAACTCGTGGTGGTTGATCAATTCGCTTACCTTCGTAACTGCATCAGCAACGATGGGCGCATAGAAACTGAGGTCAGCTCACGCATTGCAAAGGCCAGACCTACCTTCTTGAACCTGCGGCATCTTTGGCGATGGAAAGGAGTTTCCCTCCGTCTGAAAGGCCGTGTATACAAGGCCACAGTGAGGGCCGTCCTGCTATCTGGTAGTGAGACTTGGCCACTTCGGTCTGAGGATCTGGGGCGCCTTCAATTCTTTGATCATCGTTGTCTGCGAAGCATTGCTAATGTCAGATGGCACCAGCGTGTCCGTAACGATGATTTGCGTAGGCGAGTACTAGGTAATGGTAATCATGCTAGCTCCCTAGAACAACGGATAGCACTGAATAAGTTGCGTTGGCTCGGGTACGTACTACGTATGCCTGGTCACCGCTTACCTAGGAGGGCCTTGTTTAGTCTGCCGAGTGTAGGGTGACGCAAGGCTCGAGGTGGACAGAAGTTGAGTTGGCATCGTGAAATGACGTCATTGACGACCAAACTGCTTGCTGTTGGTCCGTCTCGCCTTCCGGACTGGAGTCCACGTGACTCGCCTTGTGCTTGGCTCGAGACTTTACAGGACATGGCTTGCAGTAGACACCAGTGGCGCGTCTGCTGTCGTCTCCTAATCGGATTGCCTGTTTAAAGTGTGTTTGGTGCTGAGTTATCTGCGGGGTAATGGCTGATTATGACGCGTGGCAGTGAAAGCCGCAAGGAAGCTGTTTCGCCGATACCGCCTTATCTTTGCACGATAGGCAGCTATTTGTGATGGTGTGTTGTTAACACAAGGTGTAGGTGCCTTGATCCTGAATGTTTGCTCAGGGCATTTCGGTTTTCAGATAAGTCCCCATTCTCTCTTATTATTCTTTATTTCGTAGGTCATTGTGGTTGTATGGCAGTAACGCGTCAGTTTAAACAGCTGATGTACTGTTGTTGTTGTTGTTATTGTTGTTGTTGTTGTTGTTGTTATTGGATAGATTGATCTCTGGGCGTACTTGGTGCCACCACGGTTTAACGACTTTTTAACTGCGTTCGCGTGTCGATCTATCTGTTTGATCAGGAGAACTTTTGGAGCTCACTGCCCAGTTTCCATCTCACTATGATTATTGTGTAGATCAGATCTCCTCGACGGCGATCGTAGCCTAGGGAGGACAGGTTTTAACGTTGGAATAGATCACGAAGCGCTGGGACTAATTCCGAACCACGCCACTGAACTTTCTCAATCAGGTCGCACTCGAACTCACTGCGTGCGTAGCTTACGGGTAAACGTATTCGAGGATAGAGCGCACATTTGAGACGAACGGGGACTTGCAGATATCAGGAGTCATCCTATAGAATGCCCTTATAGCCCAGAACGTCCTTTTGGATGTAGTGACTTTCTTTAATGTTTCATAGGTTCTTCGAATATTAGAGGACACAATGACACGGCGAACCTTTGCGCGAGAAACATTTGTGAGTTGGAAATCACCGATATGATAGGTTCCGAGTAGTTCAGAAATGCTAATTAAGAGAACAAAAGTTATCGCCGTTTATGGGTAACCTTCAGAAGACTGGTCAGTCGGGTTGCGTGTTAAACGTCGGTTGCGATATGTAAACATCATAGAGGCTGTTGACCTCCATCCACAACTTCAAATTGTCTTCACAGATTTCAGCAAATACCTTAAAGCACAGTCGAAAGTCATTGATGGAGTCTGAATAATTACTCGCCTAGGACCTAACCTTTTGAAACTTCACTGGTGGTCGGAACAGGTGAGCAGAGATTTTCATTCACATTTGCTTGCGTCGTACAGCTTCTAAGTAAGTCAGAAGTTCAAGAATGAACGTTCCCGGGGATATCGATTCCCAAGCGTTTGAAGAGGAGTCGTTCATGGGCGACTTCATCTAAAGTTTTGCCGAAGTCAACCAAAACAATGTCCAGACGTTTACCGGCATCTAACGATTTTACCCATTTTTCTCTAACGTGTAGGTTACAAGTGCATAAGCGTGTCCTCCAGAATTCATACTGGGCGGGCGAGATTACGTTCACATCTCCCAAGTTGTGTTAGAGAGCGTTTAAAAATCCACTCTACGACCTTAAAGATAATTGATGCTGTGTAGATCGGCCGATAGATGATCTTGCCGATCCCCGTTCTTGTATATGGGCTTCACGATGCCCGCTTTCCAGTCAGAAGGCAAGCGGCCGGCTGTGAGAGCCGAAATACCTGATTGAAAGGATGAGCGATGTACTCGATCAAATTCTTGAGGAAAAGGGGATTGAAACCATCGGGACTGGGCATGGCATTAACTTTAAGATCATGTCTGTACTGATTTTTATGGGCACAGGGGGAGATTGGAATGGGTGCACATATTCGCATGGAAACGCTATCTCAATCGGGTAGACTGTTCTGATGACACGAGTTGTGGCAACTGGATCCACTGCAATTCGGTTCCCTGATCACAGTTGTTTGAGTTAAATTGCTACCTGCGTTAGCCGCTTCGGTGGTTTAACCGCTGACTGTGATGTAGCTTCCTATGGAAGTGAATTCTTGGAACCCTTCAGGTGGTCGTTCGGCGGTATTGAAAACAGTTGTTCTTTGTCGGGTCTTTGTCTACACGCTGTTTGGATTGCGACGAGAAATCTGTTACCTACGATTTACTTTGAAGTTAAGCTCTATTCTTGTTACTTGCTTCCAACGCTGCATTCTACGACCCGTATTTGTTGATCCAATTTTGCAACAACGGTTTGCATTTTGGCTAACGGAGGTACGCGCTGAACTGTGCGGCGCTGTCTGTTAGCCTAACCATTAGCAACCACATAGCACTTAGCTAGGATCCATCGAAATCTGTATCGTTCACCCACTGTCTGTTCTTCAGTCGGTTACCTAGATGAATATCCTTGCGGAAAATACAGATTGTGTCCTCCACAATCATTCTATTCTAACAATTGTGCAATTATGCCCTCAATCCACCTTGTAGCTGCAGAATTGTTTCCACCGAAGTGGGATCCAAATCCATCGCTTTTATCACTGAAAGGTTCTAGTTTCTCTTTTCTTACATATCGTTAACTCGTATTTGAACGTAGCATTATTTGTTACCTGCAAGCCTGCGAATACACTGAGCATTATCATGCATTGGTTCTTCAGATTTAACTTTTCCATGCTTCTCGGTCACTCTTTGTTTTTGTGTTTCCTAAAACCCTCTACATGTGGATTTTCGTAATTTTTATCGACAATACAGTCCCTGTCGAACTTTTTCTGCTGCACATATTGTTCCCATGTGTGGTGACCTTGTGTTCGTTTTTGCTCAACAATTCACTTTGATCATTTTCTTGTCCTTCATCTAGCTTATGACAGTCCTACCGGGAGCCACGAGTTCGTCCTCTGACTCTGGTCGAACATGTATTGAGTTGCCTAGACTATCTGTTGCACTACGGCGACTGGGTCAACTGAGCGATCCAAACAGCCTGTCTACAACGTCTGCCTGTTGCAGTTTGGAAGAAAAACGAACATACCTAGCTGGTGGTTCTCGTACTGGTGGCAGATCCCTAAATTTGTCTGGCCTGTGGGGCCAAATCTCTCATCTCTTACCTACAACACTTCCGAGTGTTAAGGTGCATCTTCATGAATTGTTTCGACGATACGCTGATGATTGTTTCAGTTTGGCTGGGAAGGATAGTACGGATTCCGGTGAACTTAGTGTGTTCACTGCCCTTCTGTGTTTTGGGAAGCTTGGACCAAAATTGTTGGAGTTACACGATCGTGGTGTATCAGTGGATGATTTCGCTCGTCATCACACTATTCAAAAAGAAAAAGATTCGATCCTTAATCAGTTAGGTGGAAGCGGGGCCACAAACGTACGTGATACTTGGACTTCTCTGGTGGTTTCTCTGGGGCGCATCGTTACACATCCAAGCCTAACATCCTCGACCGAAGCTTTTCTTGAGCTTATGCGCCAATGTCGCGTATCCGTGGAATCAGATTCTCCTGATTTTACATTACCAATGAGCCAGTCGGAAGTAAAGCAGCTTAGTCAGCGTGCAAGACGAATTTCTCATCTTGGCTTTCAACTAGATTGGGATAATCGTGAAGCTATGAATGAGTCACTGAGAGATTCCTCTACCAAACTAATGCGTGCGTTATTTCCTACACACTCGCATGTAGCTAAAGTTTCTAATTCTTTTGGGCCTGGCACGGACCCCTGCAGCTTTGACTCCGACTCTCCTGTCACCGAAACTTTCAGGTTAGTTTCTCAGCTGAGTTCTGCTTTACGCTTTCTACGCAAATCTATGCAAATTTGTCCTATTTACTCGAGGTACTTGTTGGAGCCTTCATGCATCTACGCGAGTTGCGCTTTTCAACCTTTGGTCTCTGGAACCTGAACTACTTATTTTACTCAACTTTTAATGTCTTTTGTAAGATTAAGGTGAGATTTCCTCACTCCTCGGTTTTTGGGACTTAGTGGAATAATTAATGCATGTCTTAGCGAGACGAGTTTCCATCCTTTCATGCTCTTATTTTGTCTTCCATTTTCCTACTGCTGTTTTATACTATCATCAATCAGTAGAATAGAGTTGGGCGGTAGGCTACCGTCAATTCAACTTGGTTCTTCCACTGTGGCGCCGTTTTCCATTGTAACTGGTGTCCCCACAATGCCTCGGTTATTTACACGATAACTAGTCATCACCGATTCGAGTCCCCCGGTTTCTGTGGCTGGTTCGAGACAGCAAGTTGAATTACTGAGATTACTCTGGTACACTGATGGGCAGGTAGTATTGTAGAGTCTATGGAAAGAAGTGCCGATTAAATGGCTAAATTCCTAAGTTATTCACATCGCATCGGTCTCAGAATGAAACACCAAGCAAAAATAAACGAAAACAATTGTTCGCTTTTAGCTTACAGCTTTTCTTTTTCCGGAATATACGGCTACTTAAACTTATAGTATACACTAGTTGAATGTCGTGACGGGCCATATAATTGCATGCTTTCTTCCAACATGTAGACAAATAACTGAGCCATTGCCTTTGAGACTACAGTTGCATCCCTGCGTTCGACGCCAGTCTTTCCTTCCTTCCTTTCAGAGACGCCATATCGCGATCAATTTGTAAAGCTTCTGCTCCAGAACGCAAACTCCCGAGTGATACCAACGTTGTCGATCTATCGGTTTTAGTCGATGAGCTCTCATCAAAAGCTACTAGTCTAGGCATACCGGTTGACAAACTGCTTGACATGGTCTTCGAATCACTCGGCTCCTCGGTGCCTGACGAAGTCGTTCAAGATCAAGTAAGCGCTATGACGTCCCCATTCTTCTAAGCTAATGATTAAATTGCAATTCTAAAACAATGATGCTACGCGGCGTCCATTGTCTCCCCCTTCCAAATGAGCGAATTTGTGTGACCCTTAAATGGAGACTATTGTAAGCTGTGCATTGCCGTGATCATTCTTGTGATTCTCTTGAGCCTATCCTGACACCTTCCCTGATCATATATCGAGAAGCGATGTGCAAGTAGAACGCCAGTACTCTGGGCTTATCTGACAAACAAAAGCGGCTAAATGTGCTTGCTGCAAGAGGGGCGGGAACTCGGTCACGAAACGTAGAGATTGCAAACCAAATGCCAGATCCGCTACAAGACGGTTTGTTTGGTAACGGGGGTGACCTTTGAATACCACCTTACTGAAAGAACCGTTTGCGAGCCTATTTGCTCTCTCAGAAGAAATCCAATCTGCCTACGCTCAAACATAGTGAGTCGTATACCACTCTTAAACCCACATCTAATCACCCGGATCATGACTTACGCGGTCTTGATTCCAACATTACCGGAGCCTCCACCCATTATCACGTTTTTCTACACAGTTGCATCCTCTAGTTGTTATAGACACATTAAATACAAACCTGCTTCTTTTCGACTTTTACTCATTCGTTGCTGGATTGGAGTATATCGAGAGTTGTAAATTCTCCTTACTGCAATGATCTAGGGTACTGCACATCGCTCCCAATCTCCCTAAACAGGTGGCAGGCAGATGCAACTCACGTCCTCACATCCTTCTGAAGTTGTGACCTTTCTCATTTGTCAATCGATTTTGCGCCTTAGCTCATTATCTAGCCACATTGTGCTTTGTTAAAGCGCGATGTGTTAGACGATCGGTACGAACGTTTCCGAGCAGCCTCCGCATTTGTGACTCAATCTGGTCTATAGCAATTCTCTAGACTAACACTTCATTCCGGAGACCTCTAATTTTAGCGGTGTATACTAGTGAATACAATGTCTAACGTGACCTTCCTTTCTCCGCGATTTGTCCTCGACGCAACACGTATTATTGTCGGTAGCCTTGATATTTCGGTGCAATCTTTGGATAAGGGGCCTACCACACGGCACCTTGCAAACTTTACCATACATCGGGCGTAGTGACCTACTGACACTATCATGACATACATTACGAGCTACGGAAACGGAGGCAGACGGTCTCGCCTGCCCGTTTTCTTCCTTGTTTCGCCTCGCACACCAGACACCTGTGCATGATGGAACGATAACGCACTTATTTAATGCCTTTGCTTCACTAAGGAAAGTTGTTTGACACACAAAACATTACTATATATACCAGGCATGTTAGGCATGTTAGCGCATTGTACCAAGCTTTTAGCGTGACACATTTCGAAGTCGCGTGCAGTGCTTTCAAGTCAGCGAGGCTAAGAACGCTGTTTTGACGTCGTTGACACTCTCATTGGTCATAGGACGTTAGCCAATGGGACACCGGTTGGAAGCCCTGAGCATAAGCGACAGACAGTCCAATGAAAGTGGTCGAGCACCACCTTCTGTTCTGTCTTGATGCCCATCTGAAGGAAACCCCGATGATTGGTCTCCAAACTGAAATCGTGTAATGGGCAACTTGTGATGCCTGTCTAGGGAGGAGATCTTAGCTACCGCATAATCCGAAACTTACGCCGTAAGTAGTGCGGACAGACAGTAACCAGCACATGAAACGGTCTATACTTAGTGATCGCTAGCGGCTACCTGGTGGTGACTTATTCAGTGGCCTAACCATGATGACGTAGACAGGCAATCTTCTAACTGGTATTCTACAGTCTCTGAGATCTGAGGGAGTGAGGCAGGCCTGTATTTGCCGTCTGTCAGGCAAGCGCCGTGGCTTGGACACTGCACACCCAAATCTGAATCACCAATGGCTGCTAGGCGGTTAGACAATTTTGTGCGATTGTTATTGCGACGATCATGAGGGATATTGTTCCCACTGAAGTTGGTAGACCAACCTGAAGCTGAACAACGAAAGTTCTATGTTTGCTTACTTCTATCACAGTTGATGACTAAACGCAAACTAAGAGGATTCCAAGTGTGGCGTTGACACGAGGTTAGTGAGTGTTCGTTTGTCTCCACACCTATGGGCGACTTTGTTAATCAGTTATCGCTTCAGTGTCTCCATGTATGGCGTTATTTAAAGGTCATAGGAACCTATGTATTCATAGGATAATTAGGCTTTACTTCCATATGGTCGCCCATACGTGTTGAGACGCTTTGACAAGTGGCTCTCCGAATGGCACCATTAGAAGCACAGTCAATGCAGATGGAACCTCCCTATTACGTCCATGAACTGGAATGCTATCCTCATGAAATCGGCATTACTCAACAAAGAAACACCTAAAGGGGCTACAATGACTACCGTATTTATACATGCCACATCGTCCTGCTAGAAAAAACGCAAGGCTGATAATTAGTGGCGACGCACGCATTTTACTCTGGTAATTCAATTGAGTACTTGGACCAGACAATCGCTGTTGTCTCACCCACGGGCGTTCCTACAATGTGTTTGCAATCATTTACAAAGGCAACCGCGCCCACTAATCTGCTATGGACCACTGTTTCAGCTAGTCTTAGAAGCAGTCATGTATGCACGCCGTGACACACGTTGTTATCGACTTGGCAACTACTCGGAAACATTTTGTCATTGGAAAGTAGGTAATTCCGGAGGCATTGTTGAAGGAGAAAATTGCTCCAAACCCTATGCTTACAATGCGTATACAATGCTCGTTGGCAGATCATATCAGGGCCGTAGGGTCACTTGGTATTTCAAGCTTATCAATCACTTGGAAGTGAAGTGTAAATATCATGTTGAAACGCAGGATTGACATGCATCTTACGACCTTGACATAACGGCAGGTCCATGGGTCCTGAAGCGGTAACTGATTACCGAAGTGGCCCACAGGTGTGCAGACGAACAAACACTCACTAATGTCGTGTCACCGCCACACTAGGAACCCTCCTCTTTGGAACAATGGCTACAGATCCACTGATCGTCTTTCCTACCCAGCGAACCTGACCTTAGTATACAATTCGCCGACTACATCAGCAGTACGTAGCTACACTATCCACTTGGGTGTACGGCCAACTGGAAAAACACAGCACGAGAACTTTGTAGCTGTAAAGACTTTAACGTTTCTATTTGCGAACAAGTCCAACTTTTCCCTCCTTCGTATGAAGTACTGCATGGTTTCTGAATACCTCACACTGCCTTAACAATCACACCCATTTCCTAAACTAAATCGAACACCTATCGATTCTCCTGATTGCTCGTAGTGGCACGATTACACTATGCATACCGTATCACGAGTGGCCAATTACGCAAACGAGCAAGGAAGGCAGCTGTACACTCCACCCCAAAACCTTCAAAGCTTCTCTTCCAACAGCCTACAAGGGTTGCAGCCTCAACACAATCAACCAATCAGCTTCTTATCACCACTCACTTAGATGTCATCTAGCTCGCGTGGTAGAGAAACCTGCTTACACCAGATTGGCAGCATGACTAATCACGTATTATGGCTCCCATTGGCTGAGCATATTTTGAAACGATTGTCTTGTTTCAAACTACCTGCAGGCTGGTAGTAGGCTTTCGGGTTCGCTGTACAATTGGCTCCGTTTGTCGGTCGCCTATCTGTTGATCGCGATTGATGTACCAGCACATTTCTATGGTGTCGAGGGTGATCAGCCAATGGGAGACATAATACGTGATTGGTCATGCTGCCAATCTGGCGTAAGGAGGTTTCACTACCACGCGAGCTAGATGACATCTAAGTGAGTGGTGATAAGAAGCTGATTGGTTGATTGTGTTGAGGCTGCAACGCTTGCAGGCTGCGAGAAGGCAACCATTGAAGACTTACGGGTGGAGTGTACGGCTGCATTCCTTGCTCACTTGCCTATCTGGCCACACGTGATACGGTATGCATAGTGTAATCGTGCCACTACGAGCAATCTGGAGAATCGATAGGTGTTCGATTTCGTTTAGGAAATGGGTGTGATTGTTAAGGCAGTGTGAGGTATTCAGAAACAATGCAGTACTTCATACGAAGGAGGGAAAACTTGGACTTGTTCGCAAATAGAAATGTTAAAGTCTTTACAGCTACAAGGTTCCTGTGCTGTGTTGTTTCAGTTGGCCGTACACCCATGTGGATAGTGTAGCTACGTACTGCTGATGTAGTCGGCGAATTGTATACTAAGGTCAGGTTGCAATCGAAAGAACTTCTGACACCGGCACAAAACGGATTCAGGATGGGATATTCTTGTGTTACCAACTTACTTGTGACGAGACAGGAATGGTTGCAAGCACTGAACCGGGGAAAGTCCGTCGACGTAATCTACATCGACTTCAGCAAAGCATTCGACAAAGTTAATCATGAAGTGCTTCTAGACAGATTAAGCTCGTGTGGTGTCGGAGGATGGTTACATCGATGGATCCATGAATTTCTCGTTGGAAGAAAGTGGAGGGTACAGGTGGACGGCCATCTAACCGATTGGTATCCCTCGACCAGTGGTGTACCTCAAGGTACGGTACTGGGACCCACTCTGTTTCTCATCCACATCAACGACCTGCCCCAGCTTCTACGGTCGCTGTGTGCACTGTTTGCGGATGACCTCAAAATTTGGCGAAAATTAATACTCTCGATGATTGTGACATTCTCCAACAAGACCTCGACCGCCTCGCAGTATGGTCTGCTGAAGTCCACCTACCGGTCAACCCGGCAAAGTCCCTATTCATGAATCTCGGGAAGGCTGTTCACGGCCGAACGTACACCCTAGACGGCCAACCACTGCGTCCCACACCTTCCGTGAAAGACCTAGGTGTACACTCATGTTGCGATTTGAAATCCGTCGACAACACCAACAAACTATATCGAAACGGACTGCGCATGCTCTGGGCGCTGAAGCGCAGCTTCTGCACTTGGTCTGAGGACGTCGCCACTCGCCTCTTCTCTTCCATCGTCAGACCAATGGTAG